AGTAGAAAAAGAAAAAAATTGAAAATTAGAACAAAAAAGTAATTTTGAAAATAAATAAAAAATAAAAATGAAGGGGCTCCTTCAGGGTATACGTCTGCTGTCACAATAAACAATGTGAGCAGTAGTGTGCCGTTATAAGTCAATGAGTCTCAGTAAGCCAGTCACAGACCCGTGAGATTCAGGCAGATTTCTGGCTGCAAGTCTCAAGTTGAGCTCCCTGTCCTCCTGCAGGGTTGAACTCTGTAAGGTTCTACTGCAGGTTCCAGCTGCCTTTCCCCTGAAGACAGTCCAGGTTCTGATGGGAGGTGATGATCCTTCTAACTTACTAATTACAGTGGTGTGGTGTGGCTTTACTGCAGAGATTCTCTTCACTTTTCCAGTGGGCTTCAGTTTTCATCAGAGAGCCTGAGAGAGGCCCTCTCTCTGTTGTTCACTTCTGCAGCTCAGGACAATGGCCTTTATGTCCCCCTGTGTCTCTGTAGTGTGGAACCAAGTAGTGTACAGCCAAGAAGCCAGAGGCGGGGGCGGGGGGCGGACGACGACTGTGACTGTGCGGGCTAAGCTGGCAGTGAGCATGCGGGGGTGGGGGGTGGGGTGGGGTTCCTCACAGTCACCTGGATGAAAGTGGGCGGGGCGAGCCAGATGGAGCAGGGAGCAGCTACCCGCAACGGTTCTGACCAAACAGCCAATCTTCAGTTAAGATTTTAAAAGAAAAAAATACATCCATTTTTGATAGATCTAATTGATTAAATATTTGGAGATAAGCCCTGAAAATATGAAACCACTAAAAGAAAATAAAAGGGAAAAACTTCAGAAACCTGCAATAAGCAGGGATTATTTTGGACTAGACTCCAAAACACGGGAAAAACAATAAACAGAGAAATAGGATTACAGGCAACTCACTGGATCCTAAACTCAAACACCTGACCCAGGAAGCCTTGGCACCCAGCCTGCTTCTGGGAAGGGCCTAGGGGAAGGACAGCAAGGATCTGGGCCTAGTTAGGTTTAAATGATGTCTCAGCTTCATTCCCTTGTGCACGAAACAAACTTCCATTTGGATTTCTAATGCCTTTTTCTTTTTTTAGCCCAATATTGTAGAGCTAGTGTGAAACCTTAAATTGATGGTAAATGAATAGGTCTCCAAAGACTTTTTTTTTTTGTATTCTATTACTTTTTAAGACAGGGCATAATTCAGAATTCAGTGCAAAAGAATAAAAATTTGACTGTTAACTCATTTCTCTTTGCAGGAAGCTATTCCAACAAGTGCAGTGTCAAAGTCAGATATATTTATATACTATATTTTATATATATATACACACAATGTATACACTATATACTATATATACATGTATAAGTATTTTATTTTCTTCTTCTTCCTTTCTGTTACTGCATCCTTTAGTCCTGATGAAGACTTACAATTTATCATCAAAAGGCGCCTTTAGATTTCTACTGCAATGGAGTGTCTGATAAACACCTTCCATTTCTACAGGGAAAGAAGCAGAGGTAATCTTTAAAAAATAAATAAATAAATTCTAAAAGTGCTCGGGATGACTTGATAAGGATAAGGCCCTCTTCAATGAGAAAGGCTTTCCTGGGAACTGAGACTAAGACACCACACAGTTCGCATCAAATTAAAATGCTAATAGAGAGGGTGGCAGGCTGCTGTATCTTAGATCAAGTTTTAGTTTTCTTTGGTTTTACTTTCTGTCAGGGTTATTCTACCGTAACGTATCAGGAAAAGCATTGCACTCACATCAAATCAAATCGTTAATGGAAAGGGTGGCAGCCTAAAGGACTCTTCATCAACTGCTAATTTTGTTTTATTCTTCTTCCTCTTACAGCTATTCTCTGAAATGAATAACTCTGCATTCAAAGGAGGCTTTCCAGAGAAGCTGGGCACTAAAACAGATTAAGATGAACTGAAGACACAGAAAACCATTATGTTCACAGAATAAACAGTTTTAGTCATTTAATGTTATAATAAATGTATTTGGCTGTGACATGCTGCTTTCACCACAAAAAGGTCTCCTGTTAAATATGCACATGTCTCTACATTGGGCCAGTGATAGGAGCTGGACAGCCAGGGGTGACAGTCCTACTGTGGATCTTGAATTTGCTTTTCTGAGGAACAGGCGATTACTGTAAACATTCCTCTTTTCAAAATGGAGAGGAAGTGAATTTAGCATTGCTGACAAGTGTCAGATTTACTGCTTTAAAGATCAAAGCAATTAATTTATTCAGAGGATCAGGGAAAGAGCAAGAGAAACAGACATGGCCCCACTGGCTGCCCTGCCTTTGATGACCAGAGCTCTAGGTAACAAAGGTTTGTCAGCTTTTTACCATACTCAATCCTAGGAGATCTGAGTTAAGACTAAAACTTCAGGGCCCTTGCTGGCCTATTGGAAAATAAGGAGGATGCGTATCCAGCAGCAGGGATATGATAAAGAATCAATTGCCATCCAAGTGTTCACTTGCTCTTTTAAATATGAAGCATTCTAAGTACAATGTATAGGAAGACAGGACCAACAACAAAATGCTTTTTGATAAACTGCTGACAATGTGGATTTGGGTGGTGTTTTATTTACTTCAGAGACTGGCTTTGCAGATAATAAGATGTTTGTTGCATGTATGTGTGATGTGTTAGACATTTATCTTCAGAAGCCCAGGAAAATAAGACAATGCAAAGTAAAAGAGTGGTAAAATACTGGTATCACTCCCTCACCTAATGAAGGAAGCTTAACAAGCCAACACAAGACAGGAGAAGTCACTCAGAAATCATCACTCTCTATTGTTCTTGGATGACACAGATAAAGATTCACTGACGGTCTAAAAATATTCTCCATACTAGGTACCTGGAAATTTTTCCTCTTGACTCAGTTTTTCTTTCCAAATGAAAATTTGGTCATGATTACTATTATGAACCCTTCTTGCTAAGGGAATTTTGTTAATGAGTACTGACTTCATTCTACATGGTTCAGATTCTCTTACTTGCAAAATAATAACAATGTTTTAAGTCTCTTGTCTGAAACAAATTAATTTGATCCCATATCCTAATAGTGTCAATGAGCAAACCCATGTGTTCCTACAGTTTTTGGGTCTGATAAGTCAAAATAAATAAAGTCAAACAAGAAAAAGCCTTTAAAGATAAATATATAGTTAATTCCTTCTTTCCCAAATAAGTGGAATGGATGGCAACTGGGAATGATAAGATATTACCAGAATAAATGTTTGATACTTGAAGCTGAAATTATAAATGGACTACATCATTCACAATTTGGGTAAGGAAATATAACACATGTGCAGGAGTAAAATAGAATTTTATAGTATAGACTTACTGATGGAAAAATGATTACATTCTCAAGTGTGAGACTCTACAGTTACAACAATGGGTAACTTGACTGCTAAGTGCTATGTGGTTCTGGACAGAAAGTTTTCTGGGAGGAGAGAAATTGGTAAGATTGTAGGAAGAGATGTAAACCTCTGTCGATATTCAAGTCCATTCGCCCAGCCCGCTCTGATCACTCGCCTACATCCCACAATCTGGCTCCTGGTGAGTTTCTTCTCCAGAATCTCACTGAAGCTTCCTCTGCTTTCTAATGAAATGCTTGTCAGCTACTGCACAGGAGATGTCCCTTCAGAATCCTGATTAACCTTTGTAGTCAATGGTCCTCTGTGATTTTCCCCCAAGAGAGATGAGATTCACAATGAGTCAGTTTATTTCTGCAGTTCTTTTCTGGTGTAGTATATCCATTTCCCCAAGTATATTGTGAATATATTTGTATACCTACCTAAGCTTTACAATGAAGGACAGAACAGCCTGCCTGATTTTAAATGTTCATGTATAAAATAATCCTAGACAACTTTCATCCAAACTCTTTTTTTCAGATGATAGAGAAGCTGCTTTTGAAATACAGGTTTTGATCAATTTTATATTATCTCCTTTTCAGGTCTCTAATGTCTATTTCAAGGGATGTTTGAACACTGTAAGTTTTATAGCAGCTCATAACTGATAATAAAGACTTTCCCAGTACTATTTCTCCTATGACAACTGAATTCCAAACTGAGATTTAAATATATAGTAATTATGAGTGATATCACAGGTGAATATTATATTAGAGCACAGCGCATATAAGACATCACAAATTCCTTTGTTAATGCTAAATTCCCAACCAACAGAAGCTTAAAAAGCCATCAGTGGATACTAGAAATAATTTCTTTTTTTTTCTTTTTATATGCCCAGTGGATTTCTCATAGACTTTCTTTAGAGGAAAACCTAAAGAGAATATGTCAGCATCAGATAAAATTGTTACTTTATGTCCTATGGATTTAGATTATCTAATGCTGTGGATTTAGAAAATTTGAATATTTTTAAGAGAGATATTCAGTGGAAAATAACTTTTGATAGATAAACAATACCAAAATTTAATCATTCTAGTGTTTCAATTTAAAAACAAGTTCACAAATAACTCTATCTGTTTTGTTCACAAAGGAAAAAACAGTAATTTTAAACACAAAGCAAAACCTTTCATCTATAATCTTACATTGGCTAGCTAGGCATGGCTGAGAGGCAGAGTTGACTAAAATTCCTTTAAAGGATGGCAAGGGATCTTGCCTGGCTTAATTCAATAAAGATATGCATCTACTTTGCCCAAACATGGATCTAGGTCTTGTGGGATCTCAGAGATGAGCGAGCTATTGTCTCTGCCCTTACAAAATAGAATATTTTGATTAACACAAAAACAAAACACAGTGTCCTCCAACAAAGTGAGTTAGGGCAAACAACGCTGATTACCAAGGTTTTCCTTGACAATTGTTTAAATGTGGTGGACTCGAGCTGTGGACAAAAGGAGAATTAACTTTGACTTCAGTTTGCCTTTAGACTTTGTAATCCTTGAGAGTGGCAGGGGGTTTTCCTACTTTGAAATGGAAGAGGAGGAAAGATGAGTTAAAGGGATGGAAAGGAGATGGGGAGGTTGGTAGGAGACAGGGATAGGAAAGAACTAAGATTTGTCAGCTTTTCTTTTTCCAGGAACATGAAGTCTGAATTTTCTTAAGTGAGAACGTGGCATATCTCATCTGTCTACAGTAGCCCTAGGTATAGCCCGGAGGAGGGATTTCTCAGATGTCACACGACATGACACGAACATGAAGTTCTGATGCTTTGCATTCATGAAGAGAACTCCCCTGGATTAGATCAACCTTGCCTTACTGACTGGTTCATAGCCTGAAGAAGAAACTACAGGGCTACATCATCTGCTTCCAGAAGTCAGAGTAGACTTATTCATTTGTTCTTTCTTTTAGGTCTTGGCCTTCTACCCATCCCTGACTCCTTTTCTTACCTCTTCAAAGTTGTCAGTTCATTACCAAATACAGCTACTCTTTGGATGCTTTGACCAACCATATTTTACCACCATTACCATTCAAAAGACCATACAGTTTCTGAGGATATCATTAACCCAGGCTTCAAGGGACAGAACACAAAGAGAAAGTGAAATAGCAAATGTATTTGTTAGACCTCTATTCCCCTACACAGTAATGGCTTAACACTTTGGCATTAATTCCATTTATCAAGCTGTAAGATAAATACATGCACATCAGACACTTTCCCAGCATTTATTCAAAGGCCAGACAGCGAAGACCACTATTTAAAAGGAAAATATGTTCATTTGTTTTTGAAAACAAAGCAGAGCTTCACAATTCACAATGTCAATCCTTTTAAAGAGACAGTACCATTTTCAGAACGACATAACATCTTGCTAGGCTTAATCTCCTTTTAAGAATAGCAATAATATTAGCAAAAATTCTGCAATCCTAAAGCAAGGTAAACACATCATATTGTCTGATAATTAATAGTTGAAAGAACTAAAGCCTTTGCAGATAACATTTGTGTTTACAACTTCTTTATATCTGTATTAGGAAATGTATCTAATTTGATTCCATAGTTTTTAACCTTGGGCAAACTGTGTTAAGTCTTCATTCCAGGGAAGCTTTTTACATGCAATGATATTCATACATGGATAAATTATCACATCTTGAAAGAGATTTCCAGATTTCTCCTTATGTCTCTTGCCTAAATTGGTCTCTGTTTATATTGCAATGCCAGGTTGACTCTCTTCTTTAAAACGATGAGTTTAATTTCCCTCAGCTTTCCAAAGGGCCTAAAGGATTAAATTCTTCAAAAAAAATTTTTTTATTAGTACATGTTTGCAATGCTAAATGATTATACAAGTTCTAATGTATGGCCTCACTCAAATATTTTCCTTTAAAAGCCCTATTAAAATTTTTAAAAGCATTATAAGAATGGGTCAAGAAAGTATAGAAAATATAAAACAATGTGCCTAGACCCAACTTTTCAGTGTATATTTATATGCTCATTTTTTAAGCAAAGACCTATAGCATCACTCTCATTGTTAAAAAATTATAAGCAAATGGTGAAGGAAAACATCAATTTGGATTGCGTAGTCGTCTTCCCAGCTTGTTTCTTCAGATACTGTTGAACACTCATTCACTGCTCTGCTTAAATCACTGCAGATGATTTTTCATGTTTCTTAGAGGAAAAAAAAAAAAACCTCCAAAGTTCTTTCTGTCATGTTCAAGGCTCAGTGATTAGGCACCACCATCTGTCTGGCCACAGGGCCATTTCCCTTCCTGTGCCTTTAGCATGGAACACTCTTCCATCATTTATTCTCTTGCTTCTTCCCATGCTCTCCTCTTATGTCATTACCTCAAGAAATCTCTTACCTGATGATCCACATCCAACAGCTCAGCCCATTCAATCACAATTCCATTGATCTCCCTTTACCCTTCTCTTTTTTGTTTTTCTTTTAAAAATATTTTTTCCTCGTGGTGCTGGAGATCTAACCCAGGAGCTCTTACATGCTAAGCAAATGTTCTACCACTGTCCCACACATATCCTCTCCCCGATTCTCTCATGCTCTTTCATGGCTCTGCTAAGTGGTAATTATGCACTGTCTCATCCGATTGTTACAGAATTCTTAAAAGAAAATAAAGTGCATTTCTCACAGAAACAACTGAGGAAATTAAAACCTAGGGAAGCTAAGAGTTTGTACTCCATTACTATACAAATTCGATCTGAGCCAAATAGTGTTGGAGGTGTCAAGGAGAAAAAAATAAAAATGAAGTTGCATTGGTTTGGGGCACTTAAAATGGAGTACAGAGGCCATTGGTTATCAGATCTCAGAAATATTTTCAGCTTTCTACTTCCAAGTGGGAGCTGACCTTGGAAGCACTGTTAACCTCTCTATAACTTCTGACTATATGTATAGTTGATTGCTCCTAACTATCCAGAGGCTCTGACTGCACCTACTCCTGTTCTTACAAAATAGTTTAACTTCTGCAGCCCAATTATAGCTCTTGACTAAGAAATGATGCAATTTCCATTTCCCTTATGGGTTCGAACTAGAAATACAGCCACCACTTTGTAAAACCTCAGAGCAAAGTTACGAGACTGCTTGACTCTTTTTTCAGAGATTACAATCATGATTAGCTCCAAATAAATGCAATTTTCTTGTTCTATACTAGGTTGATTTTATTTTTTGTTAACAGAAGTAATTATGATACTCTAGTTGGTATTTATTCTATCAGATCATACATTTAATGAAGTTAATTCTATACTATAGAATGACAGAGGAATGAGTAGAACAAATGGCATCCTAATTTAACTGTTTTTGTAGGTAATATATGCTATTGTGCTCATCATTAAAATTCAGCTGCATGATCTGGAGTGACCTAGAATAAAGGTGCATGTTTGCAAGTTGCCCACTGAAAAAGGTAAGACAATAGAAGTTACCTTTTATGGGTGCTTTCTGAAATTTAGAGTTACTTTCACTTCAAGGTCCCTTTGCTTACCCCTATTTTCCCATAACCTCAGTGTGTGTGCCACGCAGTATATCATGATAAATATCAATTGGACATATCATGTGCAAGGCATGTACTCTTCTGAGAGACATATATCACTGATCCTCTCAAAAATCTGTAAGAAAATCCCTAGTGCTAGTCCCATTTTAAAAATGAAAAACTAAGAGTCAGACAGTGTGAAGAGTGCTTCTGAAAATTTCCAAACATACCCTTCCTACCCACACCAATTTTGCTTTCTATTTGTATAACACTGTGATCAGGTGAG